GGGGGGGGGGGGGGGGAGGGGTCTCAGCTCCTTCTGTGTCTCAGTGTTCAGCCCTTGATGGTGCCACAGGTCCCTGTGCCCCTTCCTGTGCCAATGGTTACCAGCACATGGCCTCTTGCCTTGGGCTCCCAGCCAGAGCTCAGCCTGTGTGGGAAATGGAAAAATGAAATTTTCCACAGATGTTGAAGGGTTCAAACTGCAGCCTTGGAAAGAGCTTGGGTTAATGAAATGATAAAGGTACACAAACATTAGGTAGAAAAATTATAACTTATGTTCCTATAGTTATAAGAATGTCTTGAGTAAGTAAGAAATTGCATTAGGTAAAATAGTGTGAGGTTTGAGCTGTAATAATGGGACTTATAGAGTAGGCTGGGGATCTAGAAGCTATAATAGAGCTGTGTATGAGTATGTGACCTGTCAGTTTATTGGCTAGGAGACAGATGCAGTGCAGCAAAATTAAACAAAGGTGATAGGTTAATAAGTAGAAACAAGTTTTGTGTCAACTGTCTATTGAACCAAAATGTTATATATTGCTGTGTGGAGAAGAAACTGTGACTTCCTTGAGCTATGGCTGACTTGTTGCTCCCCTCTAAATCTCACACCTTGGGAGTGATATCTTATCTGGCTACTTGAGCAATAAATCCTATCAAAGCAAGGTGGTCCCATCCCTCTTTTTTCATCTTGACAAGCCTGCAACTCTCATTGCAACTGCAACTTCCTCAATAGCCTGCCTCCCTAACAGGCAAATGCCAACCACAGTGGGGCGCGAGGGGAAGGGGAGAGGCACCAGAAGGGGGAGAAAGCAGCAGACAGAGACTGTGTGAGGGAAATAATGTATTTCCTTTTTCCAGTCTAAAAATGTGCTGGAGCCCTGCTAGTACTGGCAATGAAGTGGGTTGCTTTCATGGCTCGGTAGAATCCTGGGGCCAGAAGCCCTCCTGTCTTGGGAATGCCAGGACCCAAGTGGGAGTGTGAGAGTGTTCCTAGCCCTGACAGGGGGCAGTGGGGGGTGGTTGCTGCCCTTGATACCCAGAGATTTCTGCTTCCTATACATTTTTCATATATTTGTAGATTAGTAGACTACTAATACATGGCTTGTAGCATAGGTTGTAGCTTCTAGTGCTTTTCCTACTCTTTCCCTCTACTTTTTAGAACAGTAAGCTAACCTTCTAGCACATTCCTGAAATGGTATTTAATCTTGCTTTTTAGGCTAGCAAGGACACTGTGTTTTCCACTAGAACTTAGAAGACATAACAAGAAAGCCCCTGGAACAACTCCAGTGGGGGGGAACCCAGAGAAACTAACCAACTGCTCTTCTAATGGGACAATATTTGCTAGATATGCTACTTTGTTAAACTTACAAAAATTGTAGAAATACAGTGCCAGGTGTGCCCATGACCTTGGGGGCACCTGGAAGCTTCTAATGAAGACCTGTGGGTTTTTCCTATTTTAAGACTAGTGCAAGAGTTTTCTCTTTTGACATTAGGCAACACTCTGGGCAGAGGAACTTGCTACCACCACCTCCCCCTGCTCTTTCTGGGGCTGCACCTGCTCTGTACCAATCAGCACAGATGGCTGGAGGAAGCGCAGCAGCCTCTGGGCCTCCTCACTGCATTGGCCCACAATGAAATTGACAGTGCCAGCAACCAGCTGTTCTGTATATTCCTCCAGGAGAGGCTGCAGCATCTGGACCATGACCTCCCCATTGTCACAGATCAAGTGGTAGCTTCAGGCAAGCCCCGTCTTAAACTCAGAGTTTTGGCAACAGCTTAAATTTAGGTGGCCCACACCTAAAATCACTCTGGTCTGCAAGTTCTAAGGATGGCAGATCAGGTCTATTTATAAAATGAGTTATTTATTGAGTAGACAGCAGATAACTGAAACAAGGTCTTAATCAGTTAGTTACTACATGATATAAACCAAACATATAATAGATGACATAAATGGATGACATCTAATAGATGACATAAAACTGTACACAATATTCTTGCACCTATATTAAAGCTAGTAAATGAATTAGTATAGATTGGGAGTCAGATGTAATTTACTGCTGAAATTATGTTAGTGTACACCAAATCCTTTCACTCAACCTCAGAGGAGTAACCACAAATCAGCTGTCTGCACTTTGGGGGAAAATCCCATACATTTTTAGGGACTTCCCGCTTTGTGAAAATTTGATGTAGATTTTATGATTTGTAAGGTGAGGTGTCCATCAGTCAGAAATTCCAGCTTATTTTTCCAGATGTCCCTCCCACAGCAAGATGTTTGTTGTCAACTGGGAGTGTTACTCCTATGGTGAGAAAATAACTCACTATAGGACAGCTTATCATGTTTTGCATGTTTTTCTACCAATTAGCAAGAAACATATAAGTTCTTCTGGGGCAAGATGCTCTGTTATTCCACCAGCTAAAAGCAACAGATAAGCTGTTCTGGGGCAAGATGTCCTGCTACACCCATCTGGACCGCAGAGGAACAGGGCATACAAGGTTGCTCTCACTGCCAGCCACCACGAGGATGCTGCAGGCGCCTGCTTAGCTGGGGAGAGTATGGAAAAATGGACAAGATAAAATGGAGAAACATTGGTTCCTTGCTGTCCCAAGGAGGAGATAAAGAAATGCCCAAGCCCCTGGAGCAGGATACCGTCCTGACTCCTCAACCTTTCTCACTACCACTGTGAGGACACTCAGCCCTCCTTTTACAGATAAGCTTTCCCAGTTCAGGGATTAGGTTTCTCACTCTTCATACAAGTGAGCATGTGCAGCCCAGTATTCTGGACCTTTCTGGGAATGGGCTGGGTGGCTTTTTGGGTTTTTGGTGGATTTGATTCTCCCTCTATTGGTCTTGCTTGCTCCTTGACCCCATTCCTGCACTTAAGCTGTCCTTTATGTTGTGTGGTCATCATGGACTGCAACAGGAAGTTCAGCTCCAGAATGGTGCTGCCTTACCTTCATATGGCTCCCCTTTCCAGGCACATCCTACTATATCTGGCCTGCCTGATGGTTGTTGGTGTTTAGGGCATAGAAATGCATTAACTCTTTACTGCTTAGGTTTCTACATTGGTGAAAAAAACCTAGTGACCATCTGATAGGGACAAAAATCATCTTTAGGGCACAGAGGTCAGTGAAGGGCTTCACATTCTTAATGTCAGGGCAATATCTGCACCCTTTTTCCCCCCTTTCTCTTGTTTTCCTAGTGTTTAGTTTCTTGCACTTGTTGCAGACTTCAGGTGCCAGATGCTACTTTTCTGCTGTAGATGTATCAATATCTGCAGGGAAGGCATTGATTTGTGCAGAAGGGTGTGTGAAGCCAAATTCTTCTTAGATGAGGGTGAAGGGACCCCTGTGTTTAGGGCTGCCTGGGCAATGACCAAGCTAGCAGGAATTTCTAGAATTTGGATGCAGAATATTCTCAGAGCAGAAAATACAGTTTTCTCTTTTTTCTTTTTCCTTACAATTTAAAATTTAATTCAGTTTAATGAAATTCAAATTAATATAACACAGAAGGAAAGGGTTGTGGTCCACAATACCCTGAACTGCAGCTGGTCCATTCTGCTGTTCAAAACATTTTTTCCTTTAGGAACTGCAAGATCTCCTTCAGCAGATTAAAGAATTGCCGCAGCTTTTCACGTGGAAATGGACAGGGTTGTGTTGGTTTTGGCGTCTGCAGGGGGGTTGGAGTAACTGTTGGTGCTGGCCTTGTTCCAATCTTTTTCTGGATCCAGTCGTAGTAGTACTGAGTGGCGCTGGACACTGCAGGCCGTTTAGGTCTAGCACAGCCCACTCCCCAGCTGGTCACACCAATTTGCCAGAAGAAGTCAGCATGCTTATCTTGGCAGACAAGAGGACCCCCACTGTCACCCTGAAGCAGAGCAGAGAGGATTAAGGTGCTTTGGCATGCCACAGTTAAGAGTTGGCTCCTGTATTCTCCCAGCTCCTGCCAGAACTGGATTCCTGGCAGAGCCAGGCTCAAGTGCTGGAACCTGCAAAACCTTGACACCTCTGGGAGCAGGTTGGAGGCCTGTAAGGTAGGGCTCTGTCTCCCCTGTGCTTGGATGTCTCAGGGTTGGCGTCTGGACCTCGCTGAGCAAGGATCCATGGATGGGAAAAGGGGTGGAAGCTCCAGCAGCAGTGCAGAACTGGGGCTGGGAGAGCCAGGGAAAGCAGGTGCTGGGCTGCGTTTGGGTGGTGTGATGGGGCTGCCCACAATGCTGGGGTGTGGGGGACTCATAGCACGCTCCTACCTGGCAGGTACCAACGCCGCCCTGCCCAGCACACACATGGAAGTCGTAGATGTACCCATGCAGCCACTCACTACTGTTGCAGAGCTTGTTATCCACGACTTGCACCTTGGCCTGCTGCAGGATATCGTTACCTGAAGCTGTGAGCAGAGAAAGGAATGAGCTTCCAACAGCTCCTTGCCCTTCTCCTGGCCTGTCTCTGTGTTGAAATCCTTCCCTAGGGCTTAGCTCTGTCTCTAGAGAGGTGTTGGGAGTGCTGTGTCACTGCTGTCTGGTGTTGGGCAGCAAGCCAGACCCACCTCTCCAGAGGCATATGTTGCACGGCCCAACTCTCATTTTGGTCTCTGCTGTCAGGAAGCCCCAGCGACCTTTCCCTGGTGTACCAAGCTTGCCCTCAAGGCACAGGTCCTTTATAAAAACTCACATTTTACAATTCTGTCACCCCAGCCAGCAACGTAACAGTTTTTCAGCTCAGACACTTTCACTCCAGGACCAGGCAGGCAGGCAGTCTGAATGGAGGAGCTGCATGGGACTGGCCGGTCCAATTCCAGCAAGGCGATGTCGTTATACTCAAGTTGAGGAATATAATTTTCGTGCATGATCAGCCGCTTAATCCGGCGCACTACCACATCAGGGCCTGACTGGCCCAACGAGGTGGCCCCAAGCACGATGGCCCACTGGCTGATGGGACTGGAAGACAGATGGAGAGAGGGGTGAGAAGCAGCACTTCCCTGCCTTCTGCTTTATGAGACAGAGAGGTAAAAGCACGGCAGAGAGTGAAAGTAGGCTCAAAATACATTAAGCTGGAGGCTGCTAGGAAGCAGTGGCATGAGCCCAGTCTTCTCCTTGAGCACTCTCAGCTGTGCCCTGCAATGTCCTGGACACTGAAAGGAATGGGATGGGAAAGCACTCACTGGTGGTATGGGTATATCCCCATGCCCAGGTCCTCCTTACTTTGTGATGTTGATGAAGCAGTGGGCAGCTGTCAGGAGCCACTGTGAGCTGATGAGGGTCCCTCCACAGACATGCGCAGATACTGGTGGGTCCCAGAAGCAACGGATACTGGCAATCCCAGCCCAGGCTCCTAAGCCTGGTGCGACATCTATGCCACCCACAACGCGTGATGAGCTGAGGGCAGTACGCATGGGCCGGAGCCCACAGGTTTGTCTGTAAGCAGAAAGTCATTACTGTCCTTTGAGAAGGCTTCAGCTGCTATGCAGGATGAAGGTCAGCCAGCTTCCCTCCCAAGGCTTTGGGCCAGGGAACTGCCTGGAGCGTGCATATGCCTGCCTGTTTCTGCTACAGCGCCGTAGACAAGTGGTGCCAGCAGTCTGCGTGCTGGTGATAAACTGAGACTCCCCCCCAGGGTTTTGGAAACTGGTATGGCCACAGGTGGCAAGTGGGCACCTCAGGGAAGCCTTTGCCTTGGGCCCCCTTAGAGCCTGGGACTACTTACCCACAGATGCCATGTGCAGGCCCGCACATAGCCAGCAGGATGAGGATGCACAACAAAATCATTGTTGTCAGAGACACAAGTTAGCTGCAAGAAGAGAAAGCCTGTCACCACCAGTGCAGCTGCTAATGCACTGCCCACAGAACTTCCACTGCTGCTCTGCCCTTGGCCCCGGGGCTGATGTCACAGAGGGACTGGTTCCATCTTCTGGGTGTGGTGCTGGGCTCTGGAGGTAGGGGGGGAAGGGCAACTTAAAGGCACAGAACCACAGAAACCAAAACACCTACACACCACCCAAAATACCTACAGAATTTGCAGCAACAACAATTAAAAGCAAAACGCATTCTGATTTTTAAAATCAATTTGTGACATTGTTTTCATTAGCTTTGCTTGAGATAGAAAAATCAACTAAACAAATACAACCATCTTAAGGCCTAAGCTCTTTTGGTGTTTAGAAACTAAGTATGAAGAACTCTAGTGAAAAGTCATTCTCCTTCAAGAAGCTTGACCCCCTTTACAGTTGAGCCTGTTTATTTAGTTGCTTCCATTGGACTGCCAAACAGCCTACCCCTATTTTGAGAGGTACAGCAGAGGTTGTGCATTGGACTGCCATTTCAGTTACTGCCAACAAGTTCCTCTCTTTGATGACCAAATTCCATTTTCCTTAGCTTTCTTTTGATGAAGTTTAAGGAAGACCAAGGAGATGGAAGGTTCCTGCCCAGATATCCAGACTCCAATTTCAAGTTCCCTGGTGTGCTGTACAGCACACACACAGAAGGATCATACGTCAGCCACCTAAAACACTGCATTTCCAGCTGCAGTTCCGGAGACCTGGAAACCCCTAGGATCCGTGTTCCTTTATTCCACTGCACCCTTGCCCTCCTCTCTGAGTTGGCACAGTTCTGGCCCTTTGGTGGGACCCTTTCCCTTAGTGCCTGACCTGCTGTCCCCCAGCTGCATTTTGAAGGTCTCAGCTCATGGAGGTCTTGCCTCACACAGGAGAATGAGTGGGACTGTATACATGGTTATCTGTGAAAACAGGCCACTTTATTTCTACAGCACCTAAATCACCATCGGCCATTGCGCACATGTGGAAGAGGAATGTGGGCTGGACACAGTAGGCCTTTGGCACTGAGGCTGCTTTTGGATCAGCAGGCATTGCCCCAGAAGGAAAGGGCTGTAGTCCATGCAGCCTGAACTGCCTAGCATGCCTTAGGCTCCAGGCTGCCTGCCTGCCTTCAAGCTGCAGTTAGACTTAAGTGTGAGATGTGGCTGGTTTTTTTCTTTCTCTCAACTCAGTAAGTCTGGTTCTTCCAGAACTTCTTCCCCTTCTCCTGCCTTGGTTACAGGGGAAAAGAGAAACAGAAATATTTATTTCCATTTATTGCTGTAGTTCTTTGGCTCTTAAAGCAGAAATGCTCTTCATGCAGTGCCAGCAGTGGTATTTTGGGTGAAGTAGGCATGAGCTCTAGGCCTTTGGCTTTTGCAAAGGGAAAAAATGAGAAAAAAAAGAGAGGAAAAAAATAGAAAAAAAAAAAAAAAAGAGAGAGAGAAAAGGAGAAAAAAAAAAAAAAGGAGAAAAAAAAGAGAAAAAAAGACAAAAAAGAGAATAAAAACAGGATAAAGGTTTTCCCTGGAATGTGTGTTTACACCAAGGGAAGCCTGAACCTCGTGTGGCTGAGATTCCATCCTTGCAGGTTCCTGAGGGCCTTTTTTATTGATAGCCATGTCCCATGGCCAGGTGTGATCTAAGGAGACCTGTAGGCATCACCTCTGGACACTGAAAGTTGCTGTGGTCAAAACTGCAGGTTTTTGGTTTTGCTTAAGTTTGGTATTTCCCCCAGTTTGGAAATTCCCCCCTTCCCTCTGCTCACCTTTTATTTTCCCCATAAGGAAGTGCAGGAACAGGGAAGGAAGTTTATTTTTCGTTTGAAACTCTCAGCCTCTCCCTCTGTAATAACTACTTTCAGATTCCCACTGCATACAATATAAGTGATATCATAGGCTATTTAATATGGGTATGGAAAAAACTACAAGCCTGTGTTTTCAGAACTGTGCTTGGAGGAGAAGCTATGTATGGTTATGGACTCGCATGGATGCAGGGGTGGGTGACGCCTAGGAGGACATCAGAGAGCTGTACACACCCAGCCCCAGCTTGTACCTTCCCCCTCCTCTACAGATGAAGGCGGCAGCAAGTAACCAGGGAATGATGAGCAATGCCTTCAACATTCAGTCTGAGAAGCTGGGAGTCTCTGCTGCGATCCTGGTAGAAGGGTCACCACTCTTGTGGGTTTGTCCACTGCACAAAGTCCCTACACCTGTTGCACAGTGTTACAGCATACGCAGCAGAATGTGCTGTGATACTACACAAATAGTCAGGTATTTACACATGCTTTTAAAAAGTTCCCCCTTTTAAACTAAGGGGGAAAGCCTCCCCAGAGGCTCTGGTGTGAGCCTTCACCACAGGGCTGGATAATTCATAGTTCAATTTCTCACAGAGGCTGCTCCTAACTTGGGAGCAGTCAGAATGATGTGATGGCTGCAAACACTGGTCTCTGATTTTTTTGTTTTGTTTTGGTTTGGTTTGTTTTTTTTTGTTTGTTTTGTTTTTGAGTTCATTATCACAGGGCTGCTTTGATCTTAGCACATGGTACCATGAAAAGATTTTAAAAAACCCTGCTGCATCATGAACAAATCTGAGTTGTCCAGCCAAAATTGAAGTTTGAGAAGAGGCTTCATAATTTCAGGAACACTTGTTGCCAGCACTTGTTGCAAAGCTGGAGCAAAATGGATTTGGAAGAAAGGACAGGTCTGCACCATTGAGGGATACAGTGAAAATGAAATCAAGAGAAGTTGGTATTTCCAACTGGGATGGATACACTAATTTAATCGTGGTTTCTGCATCAGCTGGCTCCCCAGTATCAAGACCAAATGCCACTTTTCTGCAGAATCTCTGTCCGGTGCAAGGGTGTGCAGATACCAGTGGTCAGGCACAGCCACTGGCATCATGAACCCGATAGCTGGAAGCATGAGAAAGAAGAGAACTTTGCTCCCAAAGACCAGGACTATTATGTAACAATCCACATCACTCACTAATCTCCTTGATGCACTACCTGAGGTCTTCTACAGGCAGGTCCCATGGGGCTATTTCTTCTGAGGGAAAGTGGCATTGTTTAGCAAGATGACCTTTTTCCAGACTTTTTATTTTTTTTAAGGCAGTTTAAGTGCATAATTTAGCTAAACACACCCTCCTTAGAGGGATCCTGCCTTTAAAAATGGAAGTGTTGGGGAAGAAAGCATTCTGTCCTTATGCAGAGGTGAAATAGATGTTTCTCCTCCATGGCTCTGGGCAGGCCTGCAGAGACCTAGGGGAAAGTGCCTAGCCCAGTAATAATGGCTGAACCGGTGCGCATCTGATGCCCCCTTTGAATGTGAGCATGATAGCTACAGTAATAGGATGGAGTTTTGTCTTCTATCCCAGACACCCCATCCAAGTGGGTACAGTTCATCCTCGGGACCAAGTTGGATGAGCACCACATCCCTCATGACTTGCTCTCTGAGCTGGGTGGGATCTGTATGAAAGAGGTGGAAGATGCTGAGTGGAAAGAAATGGCAAGGTAAATCCCTGCTGCTGGCTACGACGGGAGAGAAGTGCCCACGCTGGCAGTACCCTCGGGCTCTGCTTTCTGCTGTCTGCAGGAAGAACACTTTCTGCAGCTGCAAGTGCTGATGTGAGCAGCCTTCTCCCTTGCCACCCTAGAGCTTTAAAAATGGAGATATGGAGCTGAAGAGGAGGTGAAGGACAGTATGAAGTGCAGGATCAAGCCCTATGTGGCCACTCTGTCCTTGCACAGCCGCTGAGCTGGGGAGATGCACCACCAATTAAAAGATGTTGCTATCTTTTAATGGACAACTGTGCCAATAGCATCAAAGACACTGAAGGTAATTTGGGAGCCACATCACTCTGGGAGTGGCCAAGCTTGGTTTGTCACATGGCCCTTCACTCCCAAATCAACCCTGCCCCAATGACACACCCCTTTTTCAGAAGTCCTGCTGTATCTTAAAATTCTGTAGTCATCCCTCTAGCATGGCTAAGGCTGCTTCATTAAGTCAATTCCTAAGGCATCCAAGGAAACATTTACTTACTGCATTTCAGCCTATTAGTCTGCATTTTGTACAGCCCCTAATACCTGGTGTCCCACAGTTGGTAGTCTCACATACTAAGTACTTAGTTATACAAAGAATTCCATGATCCTGCATTACCTGGGTTAGCTTGAATGGTTCAAGTTTTTGTCCTATCTATGGCCATGCTTAACTAGCCGAACTAGCTAGCCATACTCACACTAGCCCTAACCAGCATCCAGCTAATGGGACATCCAAGTCTTTCTGGCTCTCAGGGTGGAGTGGCAGTCTTCACTTTCCCTTGGGGGTTTTTCACAGCCCTCCTAACAATTCGTTTCTGCTCTTTGTCTTTCACTGACACCTCACCCTTTTCCTGACCCTCACCCTGTCACATGTCCAACATGAGCCTTGCCATGAGCTGTCTGCCTTGCACTGGGTGTTAGCCATTTCAGACTTCATCAATTCCCAATACACTCAGAAAAAGGAGAACTATATTTAAGCATTTCTCATGGAAGGAGGAATGGACTCCAGTACAATTTACTAATAGAGCAGGAGACTCTCCCTTACAATTGTTTCTCTGTAAGACCTCTACTACTGACATAACAAAAGTATGAGACAAATGGTAAAATGAAAAAATCTCCCCAACCTTCTTGGTACACTTTCATGTCTAAAACTCAACTCCATGTTATTGCTTCACAGTTGTTACTAAAGCATTTTAATAGAATAGTATATTTTATAAAATTCCAGAACAAAAAATGGGATCCTCTTCCACAGTTTTGATTTTAATTTTTTTAAGACTCAATACTGTGGTCAGGGATAAAATAAAACACATGTGAGGGGACAGCAGGGATAGAAAAGTAGAAGTTTAAAACTGACTTCTCATTTAATTTAAGAAGTGACTAGGAAGAAAAAGTTGGCACATATATATGTATATATACACACACATACAAACACATATATACACACAGAGAAATAGTCAAAGATGGAAATAGTATTTCTGTAGAATTTCAAAAATTTAAAATAAAGGAGGAATCAAAGTAGCAACACGTGACAGTATAAAAAGTCCAAGAATATATTTAATTGCAATTCTCATTCCATAACTTAACAACAGTTCTAAATCTGCTTGCATGAATCCACAAAAGATATATTGGAAGTGAAATGAAAAGATAAAAAAAGGATGTTTACTCTTGAATATATATATATATATATATATATTATACCTCCCATATGGCTTTTTTCACACCACTTATGAAAGACAGACAGCACTGCACGTATTTCATCTTTATAGTGTTGCACATTAGGGTTTTAGCTCCTATTCTTCAAAAGACTTTGAGGTTCTTTCTCACAATATATTTTTACAGTAGTAGAAAGTAAAATCATTAAAATCTAAATTAGAAGCTTTCTTAAAACTAATGCCATGAAGAGTGAGTAATGATGACTAATTACACAGTGATTTACGAGTTACCAGAAGTTTACAAAAATGAAGTGAACAACTAATCTGTCAACTACAAACCCTCTGCAACAAGTGGTGAAATCGATAGTCAGTAGTCAAAAGGGCACAAACTAATACCAGCCTAACAAATGAACGCACCTGAGAAAATACTATTTTGTGCAGTTGGTCAGAGACCAATACAGCAAAATCAGTTAAAGTTTGACGATTAGTGATGAGATTCTCAAAACTTTCTATTAAATTCAAGGTAGAAGTTCCAAAGTCACACCACTGTTTCTGGAAACATCTCAAAAATGCTTGTTTTTGATGCTATCTGTTTCTTCTTTTCCACACTACTATCCAGCTGCTTCTGTATATCAAGCTGCATATTATTAGCAAAGGATTTATTTTTTTATGTGTAATTCCTTAACAGCAATATGAAAATAAAAAAATCCAAACTTAAATGGAATTATCGTATTTATTTCACCTCTTGAACTTTATAACATTCACTACTACTTACATATCCGAAATATAATTCTTTTTCACAACAGCTTCTGTATCTACAAATGTGGAAACCACATACAGTATTGCATTAAGAAAAAAATCTACTGCTCAGTGAGCAGTCAGCAAAGAAGTAACAGTTCACGGTAATTCTTTCTTACCTGTCAGCATTAACCCACTGCCAAGAAATTCTAACACAACTCTGAAGGAAGGGTCTAAGTTTCACATATAAAATTATATTTAATCATTTGTGCAGATGTTTGGTCTATAGATGAAAACAGTTTCAGGGTAAATACTTATATATTGCTCAAAATGCTTAAAGGAAAATAAAAATTTATCTGAGACATGCCCTGAGCTATCTAGATTCCTTAATAGTGCAATGTTGTCATGATGCCTGGTTTCACCGTGGCTTTTGCAAATGAAACACAATAACTGCTCACAGAGCTGCTAAATGGCTGACACAGCACAGTATCATATGCACTACAGCAGTTCTTGTAGCTTTGCCAAGTTTCTCTCCATCCACTGGATATTGAGCTGAATTGTGTCAATTGCCTCTTTTACACAACGCAGTTGAGAACTCTCCTCTGATTTTGACTCAAAAAATGACTTGACCTGCATAGCAAGAATAAAGAAGGAAAAAGAAAATTGTAATTAATTCACATTAATTAATTAAATTAATTAAAAAAATCAACACCAGTCAAACAAATAGGTTCAGCAGCAAAGGATATACACGTGTTGCAGGAAATCCATTTTTGAGAATTGTTTGTATCTCTGCAGTAAGCAAACCCCTCAAAGGAGTTCCCAAAATGCAAGGAAAGCATTTTTCATGGATACAGCAGCAACTCATTTGGTTTCAATATATAATTTTGCCAATAAACATTTACCCTATCACATTTACCCTATCACAAAGCCAACAGAGAGTACACAGAGTAGTTCCATTCTGTGACAAAGAATTGGTCGTTGCAAGCAACCCTGTTCAGCATTCTGTAACAGCTTCCACATCCAATCATCACTATAACTGTCAATGCTAACACTTAAATTTTTATAGATCAAACCATTAACACCTATCTCTACCAAATTATCTGAATGAAAACACTAGACTAAACTGTAAATGATTCTTGATACAATAACTTCAAGGTCTTTTTACGGAAGACAGCTGAGCTTTCTAGAAGCTATTAAACTCTTGGCAGATACTCAACTTCCACAATAACTCTTTTGGGTTGTTGACAGAAAAAAACGGCATAAAGCAATTTTTATGGCACAGTAACGCATTTCAGTAATACAGAAAGCATAGCTTGTTTACAAAATCTAAACCAAAATTGCATATAGTTCAAATCATTATTTTGTGAGACAGGGTGCAGGAACAGGGTGCATTCCAGTGCACAGGAAAACACAACAGTAAAAACCAATAACTGGGTTCAACTCTGTAATGCAACTCTGTCACAGACTCAGTATATAATCCCCCAACGTCTATGCGTATATTTGCCATGTGTGAAACAGGGAAAGCAACTGATACAAATACTTGCACCAGGGTGTCAAGAATATAAATAACATGTGAACATGTGCTTCTTTCATCCTTCAACTAAAAGAAAACAGCACCAGCACTAGAACCACCCCTTTCTAGCAGATTGAGCCACCAACCTCAAGTAGATGTGCCTTTGTTGCAAACTGGGAAGTTGACCAGCTAATGATATTCTGGATGGTATATGAGCCTAGGTGAAACCTGAAAGACAAACAAATATTTTCAGCTAGGAGACATTTTAAGATGCAGTTTTGGTATATGTATGCATTCTTTTCTACTATTTCTATTTTTTTATTTAGTAGTTGGAAAATACTAAAAGCACTTAAATTTAATACCTTACAATTACATACCTTATTTTTCAAAAGAAATACATGGTCTTAGAAATCCAAGCTTCTAGCTTCTTATTCCCTCTAAAAATGTAATGTTAGTGCAAAAGCCATGGAAAATTTTCCAACTTCTATCACAGATCAAATAGTAAAGAACTGAGGACACCACACAGTGAATATCAAGATCTATATCTGTGGTACTGTATGTGCTCTGAAGTCCTACCAGAACTGAATTTGCAACCAGGTTGTCTTCCAAGTGAGGTATCTCTGTAATATTGGTTACAAAGAGCTTTCTAGAGCAGAAGTTTTCACAGAGGAGAGATGTTTTTAGCAGCGTGAAACTGTTAAAAATCAAAGCTGGAAATTAGAAACAGAAGTTTTTAGTACTGTTGGCTTTTTGAGGACTTGCAGGGCCAGCTTTCCTGCTGGGTACCCTCCAAGGCCAGTGAAAAACAATGTATTTCTGAAGCAAGTGGGTTATTTTGGTTACTTGGTTTTAGGAGTGCTGTGACAGTTCAGAAAAAAATAAATACTGAATTAATTCCCTGGATGTCCTTTTGGATCCATTTGATCCACATAAATATCTTGCAACTGAACCAAACATCTTAAGAGACAGAAACCTTTCAAAAGAAATTAAGATCAAGATTGTTTAGAGTTACTCTGAGGCTCTAGTACAATTGTTGAGACTTCAAATTTTATGTAGCAAGTTATATTTGTAAACTCTGATTTTAAAATATTAGAATATTTTATATGAATTTAGAATTTATATGAGTTTAGAATTTTTATATGAATATTCTTAGATGAATGATACTATTTATTGTCTTGTTTGAAAGAGACAAACAGGTGCTTTTGCCACTGTGAGTTTGAAGTTTCAGCTGCATCAAATGCCTTACTTTTGTGTAAGTTTTTCCCAGTTCTCTTTGACGAAGTCCCAGGCCAGCAAATATCCAGGCAAACTCTGGCTAACAGTTGCTATGATATGTGAAAGCTCCTGTGACCTGATGATTTCTCCTTCAAGACTGTTCTGCATTAGCCTAGGAGACAAAGCATATACAAAGAAACAGGAAAAAAACATCTATTCATATGGACACATGAGTTTCCTGAAAGTCCTCAATTAGATGGAAAAGATGATATAATACATCAAGCAAGCAGCTTCTGGCATCTGGAAGAAATTAATGTTACATTATACCACAACAACTGTATTTACTTAGCTTTAATTTCCAGAAATTAGAGTGACCTTAGCTTTAATCCAAGTACCTGAATTTTCACTGGTGTTGGAAACGATGAAGTAAATTCTAGTAACTTGTAAAAGAAAAACAATTCATCAAAGAGGTAAGAGAGGGAAGCTGAAGACTAAATTAGCAGTTTGTGTTCTCTATGCAGTATTAAGATTTAGTCTACAGAAACGAATATAATGTAAAGTCAAATTTTCACCCAAAGAAAGAAATGGAAAAAAAGAAGAGGAAAAATAGCTAACAAAAAATATACCTCAACTAGTTATAATTTTAATTATAAAGACATATCAATCTTTTAGGGTTCTGCAGAACAGCCTGCAAGTTTGTTACCTGCACTGCAAAATCTGAAATTTTGTGTTACCAGTAGTGCAAAGCCTTTACGTTCAATTCTTTTCTCTTTATGCATATTCAGAATTTGTTTTTTTGTGCTGCTCTGTTACGTAAGTTACTTTTAAGTGAAAAATCTCAAGTTCTTTCTGCGTATGGAAGCCCGTGCAAAACATTTGCATGGATTTTCTTTAGCAATCAGAAATTTTTTCAACAACTGAAAAAAGGCAATGCACTTTTCCAAGAACATTTTATCACTTGTAATTTACACAGCATACAACTTTTTTGCTCCTTCCTACCAGATCAGCTTTCTGGCATCCTCAGTGCTGGCCAAGGCTTCAATCATTTTGCTTTTCTCTGCTTCAGAAACTGAAGAGAAGTACATCTTCAGGAGGAATTCCCAGCCATCATTAGACTTGGCTCCAACTGCAAATATGGCTTTCAGAACATCACTAGGCAGACTACAGGGAAAAACAAAAGCAACAAAACAAATAAGCAAAGGGGGCAGAAAAATACTTACCTGAGGAAAGAAGTCACAGAATTAAAAGATTAACTTGAAGGAGATGCCTTTCTCTTTGGAGAAATTTGATTCTGTAGCAATTGTTAAGATTTGGCATGACTCAATTCATGACAATCTAATACTTTCTGTCACTTGGAAAAGGCAAATCATCTAGTCACAAGAAAACAAAGAAAATTGTATACAAAACCTGAAAATTTTCCATGGCTCAAAATGCATGTGAATCCAAAGCAGAATGAATTCTGCATGATAAAAGGTGTGCTATGGCTTTGGCACTAAGTAATCTTCTTTCAGCATGCAGCTCAGGAATTGCAGATGAAAGAAAATTTTATGGCTGGTTTTGCAGTTTAATTAGGGTGGAGATAAAGTCTAGCAGTCATCCTCTCATTGTGAAACAGCAATTACTTCTACACATGGAACAGTTAAAGACAGAATTGCATTCTTTATCAATACTAAGTTGTTTTTGGTGGTGTGGTGGAGTTTTGGTTTTTTTTTGATTGTTCTGTTTGTTGTTGGGTGGCCAATGGTGGTGTTGTTGCCAATGGTGGCGATGTAATGGGAAACCAGATAGGTAAAGGGAGTGGAAGGTCAGTTTTTGTGGTACCTTATTGTTCCATTAGACTTCATCCATGTCTCAAACTTCTCAGCAGCAGTTGCTCTACAGTTTCTTATATCATGGGTGCAGGCAAAAGCCAGCAGTGTTGACCGGAGATCTCGTTCAGACAGGGCCCCATCATCTGTCCAGTGCTGTTGATCAATTTTATCTCCAAACAAGTGCTCTATCCTATGCTAAAGGAGGAAAAAGTTACTAGCAATAGCTAATTCCTTCCAAAAGGATTTTCTATACACAAAACTAGTTTAAAATAAGAAAAAAAAACCCAAACAACAACAACAACAACAACAACAACAACAAAAACCCCAAACCGAAAAAAAAACCCAAAAAACCCCTTTTGAACTGTGGAAGCTAAATGTAGTAGTTTTCCAACTTACTCATGCTATTTCTTAACTGTAGGAATAAGCATCAGATACCACATAAATCCAGAAGATGGGCCAAGTTACATCTTAACTTGCACATGGAAACTGAAGGCTACTCTTGGAGACAAAGCTCAGACTTGCTTGTAATCAGCTTACAATCTCAACATATTACAACTTCTGTATGTTTAACTGCTTTTAACTTCACCAAGTCGCAGTAAATACACCTTTGTCTAGCAAAAAGAAACTACTTTTGTATGTCTATAGGCTGAACATCCTTCAGTTTTGTAGTTTTGCAGCTTGCCAAAACCACAGCTGGATGCTTGATCAGCTACCACATCTCAGCTAAAACTTTGGAACTTAAATAAAACTGATGACACTGCAAACCAAAGCTTGGGATGTTTATAGCAGATACATAACAACTTTGGGTAAATTAAAATAGTGCTTTTTTTCCTTGTTTACTTAAGCACTCACTAATTATTCCTATCTAGCATAAAGGAAAAACATCTGCTATTTTGTATAATAATTTAATAGTTTTCTTATAGACTAAATCTCTTTATTGATGTTTTACACCGTAAAGCAGCAAAGGTAATTTTAAACCAGTAGCTGAATATGGAGAAGAAGCTCCATAATAAGAAGGTAAACAGAGGAATAAAAGACATGATCATCAAGAACTGAACCTACAATATTGGTTTCACTGTCAAGTCTGTAAAACTGTATTGTGTTACTCTACTGCACAACTGGAACAGGACAGTGACAACTATCCTTGTGTTTCTGTTTATACAGAATACAGTTTTGTTTTTTTCTCTTGTCTCTCTACAAAGCAATTCTAGCCACTCTTACTTTTGAAAATAACTTTTCTGTACAAAAAAAGTACATGGAATATGTTTAATTACATATTTATACTAAATTGACCTGTATGGGAACTTTAAGAAAGGACCAGACACCACTGTGTTCCCACTGCACCACACTCCCTACAAACCATTTTGGGACATATGGGTATGGTGTGGAAACAGGGGAAGGAGAGGGGAAGAAGCTAGTCCAAGAAGTGTAGCATTTTGGTAAGAGATCATTAGAAAAAGCTGGCAAGACTGGCAACTCTCTAGAATCCCCATCTAACGCAGTGAAATTAATGACTATGTTAAGCAGTCAACATGTAAAAAGAGAATGTAACTAAAAAGAACATTATAGCTAATTATTTAAAATTATCATTTATAAAAAATAAAGACATACCATGACTCGTGCTGCCAGCTGTTGTTCACCCTTTTTGTCTAAAAGGCTGTATATAAGACTCAGCTGAAACAAAGCTTGAGTAAGTGGTGCAGTACTGTTCTCTTTGTTGAGGTAATTGATCAACTCAAAGGCCTTTTCCAGAGACTCTCTTCCTAGACTATAGGTCAATGAACACAAGCATTAAAATGGATTATGAAACAGAAGAACTCCCTGAAACAATCAAAAGTGATGCTTTTCCATTACACTAATGGAGAGATATGCAAATAGAGGGAATGATATAAGCAACAATTTACATGTAGAACTTTTCATACTTTTAACTTCAGTAAGATTACAACAAAGCAACAATGGACACTAACATGCCTTCAATTAAAAAAAATTGAAAATGGGTAAGGAAGTGTGGCATAAGAGACAATCCATAATGTTCAGCCTCGCCTGTTCTGACAGTGCTGGTGAACACATGAGAGGGCACCCGTAAAAATTCAAGAGGGAAACAGCTTACTTTTCTAAAGTGAAGCATTAGAGTACAGGAAAAGAGTCTAGCAGGCAGATTATTGGACACTAAACAAAATAGTGTCTTCCAGAAATGGAAACTATGATGTGGCTGTGATCCAAATAAACAGATGATGCTATAAAGAAGAGGGAGATAACATCTAGAGCATCAGTGACCAGGCTGTTGAAGACTAAATTAAACTTTCTCTGAAGTAGCTGTCTTTAGAAACTAAATCTGATCTTTGCTGACTTGGAAAAAACTTGAAACACCTTCAATACCTTTTCCAATATAGAAGTCTTACCGTGCAAGGTTGAAGATATTGTTGATCAAATTCGCTCTGTCTTTAGGACTCAGAGCCGTGTGGTTTTTTTTCAACAGATCAATCAGTGTTTTCCAGTCTTCAGTATAGTGTACCATATAATAGCCATTCATGTCCACATTGAATTTTATCCATTCCACCTCTTCTGGAAGTTCAATGATAGCTAGTGGACAGACAATATGTTATCAGCAGAAACAAACATTTAGCAACTGTTTGTTCAAAGTCTATGAAGTAGACTAGTTCCAGAGAGACAATAAATTATTTCACACTATTGGCCCCTACAATGAAGAAGGAAAAGCCAGTACAAAAGTTTCAAAAGACATCTCAAAAATTCCAGGTTGTACTTTGTCATTCTTCTTCCTACATCTGATTGAATGAACATTATCACAGTCTGCCCCAAGTCGTGTCAGTTAATTTTTCTCCTTTTGTCTAGTTGTTCTTTCCAACAGTTTTATCTACTGTTCCAAATAAAGTGTCTTCCTATACAATTAAATGAACATTTCAGTGGAAAGTTACTTCCTAACATTTCAGCAAACTGGCAGATCAACTTCCACATAACTTGCTCTCTAAAGAACATGCAGTTTGAGAGATTGTGTGTATGCAATGTGATGAAATGCACAGGCTTTTACAAATTTCAAACCTGTGCTTCTGTTCCAGTTGCTGTCATGTATTTATACACACAATGCTACAGGGAACCAACTCCCTGATGGCGAAAATACCAGCAATACTTTGCTCCATATCTCTGGAATTATTTTGTACCCTGTATGTCTTCAGCTTCACATCTTACTCAAGGGTGTTCTCAGAAAAATCATGTATCTGTAACACTTACGTAACTTGCTACCAAAGCTTTTAGTCACGTACCTGACTTCTGATCCAGTAAATATGCATTAGTACAATGGGTGAAGTTGCACTTATTTGTTATATAAGTGAGAGGAATATGCCACAAGTAACTGCAAAGAAAAACAAATGTTTACTGACATGCTATACACATTATCTCCCTTGAACGGTTTGTTTTCAGTCTATGCACTTCTGTATACTAATAATACTAGGATCACTGAATGCTGTGTAAAATAATAAAGTATAAATCTCATTTATATAATCAGAATATGATGAAAGAATAAATGCACAGCATTCATAGAAATTATTCTTTAAAATCCCACCATGTTGATAAACGGGTACATTTTAGAGAATAGATTGAGTTCAAAGTAACATTTTAAGGTCACCTAGCTCAGCTCCCCTGCAATGAGCAAGGACATCTTCAACTAGATCACATTGCTTAGAGTCACAATGAACCTGGTTCTGAATGTTTTCAGGGATGGGGCATCAACCACTTTTCTGGGCCGACACTGCCACTGTTTCACCACCCTTATTGTAAAAATACTATTCCTCATATCTAATAGTCTAAGTCTATCCTTTTTATTTTAAAACCATTATTCCTTGTCCTGTCACGACAGGACCTGCTAAAAGGTCTGTCACCATCTTTCCTTTAAGCACTTGAAAGAATGCAGTGAGGTCTCCACAGAGCCTTTTGTTCTCCAGGGTGAAAAGCCCAAACTGTCTGTCCTTGTATAGAAAAGCGTTCTGTCCACATGATTGTTTTTGTGAACCTCCTATACACTTGCTCCAGCAGGTCCATGTCCTTCCTGTGCTGGAACCCCAGAGTTGGATGCAGGGTTCCAGGTGGGATCTCACCAGAGAGGTGAGGAGGGGCAGAATCCTCTCCCTCCCCTGTTGCCCACGCTGCTTTGGATGCAGCCCAAGATACAACTGGAATTCTGGGCTGTGAATGCACACTGCTGGTCTCTGTCTAGTACCATCATGCCCCTCCCCCAGTCCTCCTTTGCAAAGCTGCTCTTAATTTGTTTATCCCCCAGCCTGTGTTGATATCAGAGGTTGCCCTGACCACGGGCCCACTGCTCGTGTTTGTCCAGATTCCTCTGGATGGCATCCCTTCCCCCAGGCACACCAACTGCTCCACTCTGCTTGGTGTCATCTACAAATTCTCTGCAGGGGCACTTGATCCAGCTGTGTATGTCACTGATGAAGACCTTAAACCACACTAGTCCCTGATGGACTCCACTTTTCCTTGTACTTCTTTCCCAGTTCCAGCAGGCTAGGTAGCTTGTATAAAATCTTACATAGTAAATCTCTGGCTGCATCAGAAATTCATCCAGTATTATTTTTACCTGTATATAAGTTTCTGATCTTTTACAAGTTTTAAATAAAAATAAAATATTATCCAAGTACAAGACTCAAATTCCAAATCATAGTATAGATATCATAATTAATTGTATACCATGAAGACTTTCTTAAGTAAACTGTCAACTGGAAGAATAAATTATAAGGAGGCTCATGATGATGGTAAGAACTTGGCTATTTAGAGAAAAACATAAATCTGGGTGGGATCAAAGACACTGCACATATTAATCCGATTTTGACAGGGACCCCCTCTGTATGTACATATGACTCACATGTAAAAAAGAAAATTCTTTTTGAAAAAGAGTGCTCTTTTTCAAAACCTTTTCTTGCATGCTCCAAATCTACATCAACTAGAAACAGAAATTATGTATCTTGAAAATCCTTCCCTTCTTCCCTTACCTTTCAACCCCACATTGCTTTTTTTTTTCTCCACATAATAAAAACAAAACAGAGCCCTCTAAATTTCTATGTTTCAAGAGACAAATTTCTTTTACAGACCTAATTTTCTGAAAGAAGATGAAATGGACTCAGTTCCTGTTGAAACTCCAAATAACTGAATAAAACCAGCAAAATCTCAAAAGAATTCACACATATTTTTGTTAGAAGACATTGTTGAGGGTCATAAGATAAGTTACATTTGCAGTAAACGAAATTTTAAAACTATCAATTGCCACATCTTTGCTTCTTCAGTATTTGCATATGTAATTCCTTTTAGGTTTTGGTACAATGGATATTGTCTCTGTTATATATTCAGTCACTTGTTGTCATGCAGTAGTGTCATCTTATAATTCTGAAGCCAAGGAAGCATTGATTCTAGCTTCTCTATATTCTTGTAGCAAAGCCCAAGGTATACACTTGAAATTCAGAAGTAAGAAGCAGAGGCTCTGAAGTAGCATACATGCATTAGTAACTTCTGTAAAACTTACTCAACCTGACTTTCTACAGAGTCTTGTTAGATACACAAAACTTTCTCAAATGTAAAGAAACCTTTACTTATGAGATATGCCTTTTTGTACTGAAAACCAACTCACGGTGTCAAGCTTAAAAGCTTCAGGAAAACAATGCACGTAAAAAATTCAGACTACAAAGGGTGTCACTGATTTTTACCAGTTGATTCAGTGGAAATAGACATCAGTATCAGTATCAGGCAGATACTATATGAGTGCATTTCTGTGCTGAATTCTCTATTACGACCTGCCTTCAAAGGAAACACTAAGAGGCCTGAATACAAGTGAGAAAGATGTACAAGGTTTAGGACAGCACCTTTCTTTTAACGGATAAAAGGTATTAAGAAGATAATAACCTTGCATCTGATGTCCAGTTTTCTGGTTCTACACGATACAAAAATTTCTCCTGTTGCACTGAAATAATCTTTCCCTTTCGGACAACAGTGACTAAAGGAAATCCTTTATGCACAATCCAAGTCTTCATCATTTTCTTTACATCTAGTGTTCCATTGGTAATCTGTAAAAACAATCATAATAAGAAAACAGCAAATGGAGAACACTTAATTTTCTTCTAAAGTTACAAATTAAGTGCTAGCATGATTTTGCATCTATAAACAATCACTTTGACAATGAACTTGTACATTTCCCTCTACTTTCTGGGCTTGGCTGTGCAGACTGTTTTTAACCCAACAAGGAGGGCACCTGTCCAGGCTCTGAGCTGCCAGTTTTTCCAGGAAAATGCTGTGGGAGACAGTATCAAAGTCTTTGCTAAAGGTCAGGAAGGCAACTTTGACAACCTCTCCTTCATCCACCAGGCAAGTCACCTGATCTTAAAAGGAGACCAGGTTGGTCAGGCAGGACCTGTCCCTCCTAAATCCATGCTGGCTGGGCCTGATCCCTGGTTGTCCTGTATGTGCTGTGTAATGGTACTAAAGATGATCTGCTCCATGAGCTACCCTGGCACTCAGTTCAGGCCAGGGTAGTATAGTGCTTGAGACGGCACCTCTGAAGCATTAAGCAACAGGCAGACCTGTAGTTCTCTGGACCCTCAGTCCTTCCCCTGTCTTTCCTGCTGTCTCTCCACCCTCCTTTCCCTGGGCTCTCTGACTCCCACAGCCTTGCTGCCTCTAGTCTTCACTTGCTTCTGCCCAAACCATTGCTTCCTTGAGCCCTTCACACTCAGTTTAAAACTAGACACAGCCTTATGCCTGCCTTCTAATTTGAGAGCTGCTTGTACAGTCTGCTTTCCTAAAATTTCATCACACTTATTAAAACAGAAGCTATCACAAAAAAAATTACAGTAGTATAGAGTAACCCTCTGCAAGGCTGGATTTAGCTGTTCCTTGAGTGTAAATTTTATCCTGAATTTTATTACTTTCATCCTGGTCTTAACACACTACCCATGTAATTCTAGAGACAGTATGTCTGCACTGGATGGACATGCATGGCAGTACATACCCACCCACAGTGCTTTTTTGGGATGATACTCAGTGTACCTCTAGAAGCTTCAGTAGTCTCCCTATGCATATGAGAGAACTTTGGAATAGGATGAGCAAAAATTCAGAGTATTTACCTGCAGTCCATTATCCTATTTTTTTCATAAACAAGGAAATAAATAAAAACATGATACTCTTAAAGAAGTGGAGATAAAAAAAAAAAAGAACAGTGAATCAAGGATTGATACCTCATTCATGCTGTCCCACAGGTCATCGCTATGGGCAGTTCTGTAGTTGTGATTATGCAAGTACACCTCAATGCCAGCTTGGAAAACATCCTTAGTGAGATAATGCTTCAGCATCAAAAGAAGTGAAGCCCCCTTTAGGGAGAAAAAAAGGAAAACGAATCAGTAAATTGAAGTTACAGAACTTTTTTAAGCATATGCATACTACAGCTCTTACACAGTACAGGAGTGAGAAGCTAGCAGATTTTATTCCAAATATTATCCTGTAATTAATTACTTTTATACTCAGCTATCTTGGAAAAATATTCTTTTACTATTTTATAAACTAAAATACAGTTACAGAAAAGGTTAATGGAGTTTGAAAACTTTTCTCAGCTGCTTTGGGAAAAAAAAATTAAAGGCTCAAACTACAATTACAAAATGGACAAGTAGAATTTGACAATTTTTCCTATTAACATAATCTGAAAAATATTGTCTTCTTACTGTCTCTTCTGGCTACCATTTTTCATTACCAATGCTCATCTGTATGCTACAGAACGGCACTTATGAATCAGTGTTTAACAGTCTTATGATGTGAAGTTATATCAAAAACCTAAAAATACAGGAAAAAGATGAGATACACTTGGTAGACTGGAATTGACTGCAGAAGAACAAGAACACTTTGATGTGTTTAAATACAGCCATGTCTTGTAAAGAAAAAAAAACAAACCTGAGTAGTTTTAGTATCAATAGGGCTGTGAATGCTTCTTTGTCAAAGCCACCAATAAGTAAATTTACTGAGAACTTGCATACTGTAGAACTGAACACAGAGGAGCAGCCATAGATCAAGAATAGTTTAAAGGTGCACTTTGTATTTTTTGGTACTACTTCTAGGAAAAAAACAAGAAATAAAGGACAAAATATTCAAGAGATAATGCATTGTTCTCATGTATTCCGAACTCAAGTTCTGGAATTTGAGTAACATCCTATCTGAAACTGAAGGCTGCCTGGTTATTCACTACTCATCAAACATCAGGAACAGCTCTTACTACAGGTTTTAATAATATGGCTGCAATTTCATCTCCTGTATGCATCCATACTTAACCTACAGCTCTGTTCCTTTTTTTCCCTACTGTCATATCCCCCCATATACTCTGTTGTTACAGGTGGATCTTGTCCCACCCATGGGTATTACTAGCAGTCTGCAAAACAGTCAGACAAAAAAAATATTGTACAATTATTTCTATTCCAGACAGTACAACGTAGAGGTCACCTATTAATCTGTGTCAGTTGGCAGACCAGTAAAACAAATTATGCCGAACAATTCAATAACAGACAACTACTTTGCTTAGGGACTCATTGAGGGACTACACTGCAAGTGTCTTCTCATGTGAATTGCCAAGAACTTCACGTAAGTTATAGGGACAAGAGTAGTAGAATACAAAAACTTCATGCATGAATGAAAAGATTTGCAATGAAATCCTCTGAAACATAGAAAGCAACTGTGAAAACTATAGAAACACTATTTCTGACAATGTGCAAAACCTCTTTTGGTCAGTTTTTATAGGTGTAGGCTGGTACAATTCTATTCAAAATGTGCACATACTTATTAGTAGAAATGAAGTAATAAAATAATTCTCCAAATATAATGTTATACTAATTGACTGAAACTCCAATCCAATCACTTGCTGAACTTTTCCAGTAAAATTATATAGAGAAGTTTCAATCAAAGACTGACAGAATTTGTATCTCTAAAGTTGGCTAAAGACACGATCATGCCAAATGCATAGCTTCCAGAAGCTCTCCAAAAAGGGAATTACTTGAGACAGCACCTCTGAAGCATGAAACAACAGCCATGCCTTTTGATAAAAGGAGAGAGTCCAAATTCATTTGGCAACCAAGGTAACCTGAAAATCTCACCTATCTGTTCTTGCAGCTGAGAAAACAGAGCTCAAAATAAATGGAAGCACATCACTACCGTAGGTCTATCTGGCATCCCATATTATTCAAGGATGCCAGATAACATGCTGAGACTTGCAAAAAGAAGTCAGAGGAAACAAACCAAGACTGTTATGGGAACTGCATTCCACTAAGCAGAGGAAGATGTAGTATTTGACTATTTTCTAGCAGAAAATAGCTGTTGTCATGATTTCCAATTAGATGAAAGTACAAGACAGTGATAGAAAAAAATCTCAGCTATTCCAAAATAAACAAACAAAAGCCTGTCTTCCAACACTACCAAAATCTGGTATCTAAAATCTGAGACAATGTGAATAAAAATTTTGCAAATACAGATATTTCTTTCATGCATTTTTAAGCAAGGCACTGAGATGTTTTAATAACATAAGACTCACACACAACTCTCACTAGACATTAGAAATAATCCAATTTCAGACCATCAGGATATGCAATATAATAATCTGCATTCAGAGGTAAACCTCCAGTTCAGGATATCTCTAAAATACTGCAGGTTTTTAAACCAGCAAGAGTATAAAGTTGAGTGATTACTGTGTGGTGTTTTGTTTTTACTCTTTTTTCAATCACTTGTTACAGTCTGCTATCAGAAGAATATATGCATAGCTGGTTATGTTGCTTCATTTATTGGTTCCCCTCCATCTTCATGAGTATTACATTTTGTGCTCAAGCATTCAACAAGGTGGTAAGTAATGCCAAAAATACATATACATAATATTTTCCTAATTAAATGCTATATAGATTGTTGCTATATTTTATATATTAGTAAAGGCCTGTCTGCACAAACCAGTCTTTGAAATAAGTCATGATATTAAAGGCTAGAGTCCTTGAAACCTTCCTGCAGAATAGAGAGTAAAGCAAAACAATATCCTTGTGTACAGGAGAAAAAATGTAAACCTGTGTGTATTAGCCAACAGTAACTTGCTTGGCCCGTGGACCCTGTAAAACCCTATAAAAGTGTGCTAAAGGTAGAAATACATGGCGTTCACGTTTACTTCTGTGAAGAGTTGTGAATAGCTGGTGGTCTCTCAATAATAGATTCTCAAAAACATTGAGAAATCCTGCACTGAATTGGCTGTAAATAACCTCCAAAGGTTTGTCAATACATGCCTATTTACTTGCGATTCCACATTCATATTTTCAATAGCTAATGTATAATTTTCCAAATATTCTGGAATATTTTTAGTTACCTTGATATAAGAAAGAGCATCAAACATTTCTTCGATTTGCTCTGAAGACTGAACAGCAGAAGAGACTGGATGTGAAGAATTCAAGGCATCCTTCATCATAGCCTTGAAAATTAGAGTAAGGAAATCTTCATCCTAGAAGAGAAACATTTTTAACTGTTTAGGAAGCTGAAACATATGTGTTAAGCAGAAAAGTAAAAGCTCTCTCTGCTTTGCTCCTCCATTGCTCTAGGCAGCGAAAGAATTGTCAAGGTATCATTTATAAAAGCTATGATTTCCCAGCCACATTTTAGCAGCGGGATCTCACTTCTGAGTTTGCATCATTATACAGACCCTTAAGCTCCTGTCTCAGGCAAATGTGTCACTGGACAAAAATGCATCTTCTAAGTGTGTGCCTAATTTCACACTTGGCTCACCGCTGTTTTCAGTTCATTTACAGGAGGCAGGGAATACAAAAATATGACCTTCAGGTACTTCAAACATGAAGTCTAGTGAAATTATTCACTACTGTAATGTTCGGGAGAATATAAGCACCACCTTATCTAGTATTACCAGTCTCTTACTTATTTTCCTCTAGACTGAAGATATTTGACTTTAATACATTGGTACCAGAACAAGAAAACCCCAAACACTGAAAAGAAGCTGATCATATCGGTATTTGTCTATTTCATTTCATCAAGGCAAGCAAATAATTCTCTATACAGTAGAATTTAAAAAAACCAAAAAAACCCAACAATAACAACAACAACAAAACAAATCCATGAAAACCCTCTGTGAAATACAATAAAAATAACTGCTGGTTAAAACAGAAGTTGAAGGCTATTCTTCTTGAGTGGAGAGGTTTAAGACAATGTCTTTTATTTTTACCAAAACACATTCTGGCACCATCAACAATTAAATGAGATATTGGTCAAGGCAGCTTGTCAGACAGCTTTTGGAATGAAGTACACAGATGTTAGATGTGTCCTTGTTAAAAAAGGACACTACTTTTGGCTCCCACCCTCAGCACATATGCACCCAACAAGCAGAATGGCTACATACTTTTGGTGACAATCCAACTGAACAACCAAGCTAGGCCAAATGAAGAAGTTTTGAAACATCCAGTGCTGTAAAAGAATTCTACTGTACCAGGTTAGCAACTCAAGTTTCTTAATACTAGTAAGAGTGATTTAAGAACACAAAACTCACACTTCTCCAGAACGCTGAGAAGAACACAATCTATCCAGGCAGGAAAGAGTTAGTACAAATCAGGTTTTTAATCCCATGACTAAGGCAAATCACATAAACACTCCTAGAAGTTGATTTCAGGGCTCAGGTATGTCTTCTCCTTGGAGATATCTTTATCCTGAATGCAACACTACTCCCTACATTTAATTCCACTAACCTTTGTTTATCTGCCTGTCATTCTCAGTGACAAGAAAGTTTTCTAACAGTAGCTATAAATCCTTTCCTTGGAGAAGAGAGACCAAATTTGAATCCATCATGTTTTCCAGTGTCTAAAAAGCTAGGTCACTTAGTATCCAAGTGAGTTTGTAAATAATCAGTACATTATTATATCAGAAAGATTCTATCCTTCAGCAATATATGTAAACAGAAGTGCCTGTGGGAGCAGTGCTTTGTATTAAGTGTAACTCAGTGCTATCAGAATCCTTTGTGGTGGGCCATTTGATCCTTTTATGCCAGATCAGCTCATTTGTGAAACCCAAACTGATTAAGACACAAGCAAGTACCATGACGATGGGAAGACCGAAGTTACCTCTTGTAGGGAAAGAAAACAAAGGGAACTTGTAATTGAGAGAACAAAGAGCATTTAGTTAGAAAGAAAAGACTATTCACTCAAGGCAGCAGAGATGTAATGAAGTTTTTAAAAATGTAACAAGTCGCAGGTACACAGCAGTTTGCAGAAGGACCTATTATTATAAGCATTTATCTTTGATAAAAGTCTGATGTTGCTACTGGGGAATTGATCACAGATATTATTAGTTAGCAAGCTTATTAACAATTATAACAATGGCTATCCAGGCTCATGCTACTCTAACCCAATGGTGAAAATATTATAAAAGCTATCTGCACTTTTAATAAACGTCTCTGGCTATACCATGACTGGGGATTGGGCTTCCTTCAAGCCAAATTGCTTGCAAATGGCTCCTTGAACAGGTACAGACAATCTCCTAAGGCAATCCTGGACTGGCAGTGCATCCTGACTATACCAATGGTGAGCTCCAAGGATCACAGAGGACCTCCTTCCGTTGCTGGCTAATAAACAGGTTAGCGACACTGTTGGGTAATTCCCTCATAAAATATCTCTAAACTAGAAGCCTTCTATAAAGACTTCTTATTATGTATGGCAAAGGAGCAAAATCTTAAAATTCAGGAAAATAAACTAATACAACTTCTTGTATGGATGAAAACTAACAGTTCCCGGTACCCGCCCTGAAGAGTCCTATGACCTCAATCACTGGAAGTGAGCGGGGGATGCTTTAAAAGCACATCAAACACAAACACCTGAGATTAACTCAGGTGAATTCATAACATGGAAAATTATATATTCTGTATTGCAAGTTTTTCATAAGTCTGAAACAGTAAATTCTCCTGCAGATGCCTCTCCTGCATCCACACCAACGCTTTCATGTTCTAATTCACTTCCTTTGCATGTGGAGGGGACCACTGGGGAGGAAAAAGAAAGAGAACTTGTAGGAAAAAGCTACGATTCGCATTCTAAAATACCATCGCAACAGCTGAAAATTATGGCTGCAGCACCATCTACTAACACAAAGATGTCAAAACAACCCTTTGTGACTGATAGTTAATTTTTTCTTTTTTTGAATTTTTGATAGTTTTCTGTTCCCTGAGTCAAAAGACCAAAATACCTTTTAGATACTTGCAGAAAAACACCTTTGCTTCAAGGGGATGTTGAATTGCTCCACCCCTTGCCTATGGTTTATCAAGGCAATCTGCCTCAACACAAGCAACTTTCCTATGAAATGGTTAAAGAATTAAGAAAATCTGTGAAAGAGAATGGTTTGCGATCTTCCTATACATAGAAGGTATCACAGATAGCTATGTTATGTTACCTGTTGACTGGAAAGCTTTATTTAAATCAATTATGACAGCAGCACAATATTCTATATGGTGAACAGAGTACAATGGGCTTTCTGAAGATCAAGTATGGGCTAACAAAGACTGCTAACACTGTGCTAAGAAAGGATCATTTGACAGGGACTGGAGATCAGATAATGATAAGAGAACAGTTAAGGATGTCCCCAGAAACATATAATCAAGCAAGGGAGATGGCTATAAGAGCTCTGAAAAGAGTGCTGGATGTTAATAAAACTGAACCTGGCTTCTCTACTATAAGGCAGGAACCTCAAGAGCCCCACATTACTTTTATTGATCGTTTGCAGACAGCTGTGACAAGGCAAATTGATTTACCAGATGCAGCAGAAGTTTTACTCAAATCCTTAGCTTATGAAAATACTAATACTGACTGTCACAAGGCCCTTGATCTACTTAAATACAAACCTGATGATTCCTTACATGACTTTATCAAAGCTTGTGCGTGTGTTGGTACAGAACAATACAAAGTAGACTTACTGGCAACCACCTTAGCTCAACAGCTACAGGTTGCTAGGGCAATAGTCAAATGTTTTGACTGTGGAGAGGAAGGTCATCTGAAAAAGGAGTACTCAAAGAATAAACAAGGGAATAAAAAACCTAGTAAACTGTGCCCTAGATGCAAGAAAGGTTACCACTGGAGGAATGAATGCCATTTTTAAGTATAACAAAATGGAAAACCTCTGCTGCAGCAGGGAAACTCAAAGACAGGCTCAGAATCCTTTGCTCTGCAACAAAACAACTACAGCTAACCCACACAGCTCAAGCTCAAGGAACATCAGGGAACCCCAAGCAGTGCTCGTATGGACTTGGCAGTTTCCACCACAGCCAGTAAATGACACATCGGCTCACTTTATACCTACAGGTTTAAATGGACCCCTTCCTTTTGAATGTCATGTATTGTTACTAGGGAGATCATCATCATCTAAAGGTGGACTTTTTATTTCACCAGGAATTATCGACTCTGATTCCGGGGCTGAAATAAAAATCATGGCTTGGACTCCTAATCCACCTTGTACTATTCCAGCAGGATCATGCATTGATCAACTGATACCATCAACTGATCAGGTGATCAGTTGTCATCTGTCAGTGCTGACAGGGGCACTGGAGGTTTTGGGAGCACAGGCACTCCTCACATTTAGTGGTCTAAACTCATTCTGTACAGCAACCTTTTCTAACCTGTGTTGTAGATGGCAAGTCTCTTACAGGATTAATAGATACCAGAGCTGACAAACCCATCATCAGTGAATGTGAATGGCCACCTACCTGGCCTTTGTCAATGCCATCAGTGATTGTCACAGGCATCAGAGGTCAGCAGATGCCCCAGCAGCCAGCTAAGGAGTTCATGGTATATGGGCCAGAAGGGAAACAAGTGCAGCTCAAACCATGTATATGTACCTTCTACTACAGGCACACTGTGGGCTAGAGATCTGTTATCACAGTGGGGACTGACAACAAATTTTGAAAAGGGCTCACTGATGTGCAGCCGAGACTAAACTCACATGGAACATGAATACTCCAGTGTGGGTCCCTCAGTAGCCCCTCAAAAAGATAGGCTGCAACATGCACAAAAATTGGTCAAAGAACAGCTGGATCTGGGAAATACAGTTTCTACTGGAACCCCGTGGAACACCCCAATATTTGTGATTCCATAAAAGATTGGCAAATGGAGACTCACAAGATCTGAGGGCTGTCAGTGCACTAATAGCCCTGATGGACACCCAGAATTCCTAATCTAGCAACGATCTCTGAAACATGGGAACTGTAAATCGTTGACTTAAAAGCTTGTTTTTTCACAATTGCATTACACCCTGATGCTGCACCTCATTTTGCTTTTTCATTATCATCCTTGAACAACACTGAACTTATGCAAAGGTATCACTGGATTTTGTTACCAATAGGAATGAAAACCAGTCCTACAGTATGCCAGTTTGTGGTGCAAGTGCTTTACAACCAGTGCAACAGCACTTTTCAAAGGTTCTGTTGTATCATTATATGGATGATACACTGCTAGCAAAAGGTGACTCTGTAGTATTGCAAAAATGTTTTGCGTTTTTGCGCCTTTCTCTTGATAAATTTGGTCTTTGTATTGCAGCAGGCAAGGTTCAAACTGTCCCACCATGGAAATACCTTGGGTTTCTATTACTTAAACAGAAAATTGTTCCTCAGTCCATTGTGCTGAAGACCTCTATTACAACACTAAATGATTTGCAAAAATTATTAGAAACTATTATTTGGCTCAGACCTACCCTTGGTATGTTCACTGAGGAACTGTCACCTGTTTAATTTACTTAAGGGAGACACAGATTTACTATCTCCTCTCCTCACAAGCTGCACGCAGAAGCCCCTGAAGCATTGCAACTTGTAACAAATGAAATTCAGACCTCCTTTGTATCCAGATGACAAGCAGAGTTACCACAGAGGCTTTTTCTTATCCTGGCTCAATTCCAACCATATGCAAACTAATTGCACAGTGGTGTATAAGCAACAACTGTGGATGATAGAGTGGTTATTTTCACCTCACACATTTTCAAAAACAGTAACTACACTGCTTGATGTGATTGTTAGACTTGTTTCCACA